AAAAAAAGAAGAAGAAGAAGATAGCAGGAGGGGAAGAATGAAGGGGGGGGAATCGGAGGGGGAGATACACCATGAGAGACGACGGACTCTGAAGAACAAACTGATGGTTCTAGAGGGGGTGGGGGATAGGTTAGCCTGGTGATGGGTATTAAATACAGCACATTCTGCATGGAGCACTGGGTGTTATACACAAACAATGAATCATGGAACACTACATCAAAAACTAATGATATATAATGTATGTTGATTAACATAACAATAAAAAAATTTTTAAAAAAGAAGATGTGGTATATATACAATGGAATATTATGCAGCCATCAAAAAAAATCTTGCCATTTGCAATAACTAGAAGGTATTATGCTGAGTGAAATAAGTCAATCAGAGAAAGACATGTATCATATGATCTCACTGATATGAGGAATTCTTAATCTCAGGAAATAAACTGAGGTTTGCTGGAGTGGTGGGGGGTGGGAGGGACAGGGTGGCTGGGTGATGGACATTGGGGAGGGTATGTGCTATGGTGAGCGCTGTGAATTGTGTAAACTATTGAATCACAGACCTGTACCTCTGAAACAAGTAATATACGTTAAAAAAAAAAAAAAGAAAGAAGATAGTAGGAAGGGAAAAATGAAGGGGTGGAAATTGGAGGGGGTGACGAACCATGAGAGACTATGGACTCTGAGAAACAAACTGAGGGTTCTAGAGGGAAGGGGGTGGGGGGACAGGCCAGCCTGGTGATGGGTATTAAAGAAGGCACGTATTGAATGGAGCACTGAGTGTTACATGCAAACAATGAATCATGGAACACTGCATCAAAAACTAATGATGTAATGTATGGTGATTAACATAACATGATAAAATAAATATGTAAACAAATTTAAAAAAAAAGATTAAGTGCTTTGCAAGCCCTCTATCCTTCAATGTTCACAACAATCCTACAATAGAAGTATTATTTATTACCTTCACTCTGTAGATGAGGATACTAAGAAGTTTAGGGAGCTAAGAAATGACAGAACCAGGGGCGCCTGGGTGGCTCCGTTCGTTAAGCAACTGCCTTCGGCTCAGGTCATGATCCCGGAGTTCTGGAATCGAGTCCCACATCGGGCTCCTGGCTCAGCGGGGAGCCTGCTTCCCCCTCTGACCCTCTCCCCTCTCATGCTGTTTCTCTCTCTCTCTCAAATAAATAATCTTTTAAAATTAAAAAAAAGAAAAAGAAAGAAATGACAGAACCAGGACACAAACC